TTGAGGTAGAGATGCAGGTATCTGTTTCAGCTTAACATCTTGTAAAAGAAAGTTAATTGTGTCTCGCTGGTATATCCATGGGTTATTTTTTCGGCACTGTTGGAGTATGTAATTGCTTTTCTTTACATGAATTACAATCACTAACAAGAAAGAACGTAATTGTGTGTTATCTTTTTTGTTGTTTTTGTTGATGATGGCTTTAATAGGATAAATGTCTCTTTTTCCTGTTGTTTGAAATATGTTACCCATGTTTCATGCTATTCGATCTTCTGACAATTGACCTATTTCCAGCCTACGTCCCTACTGAAGTTGGTCAAGTAGAACCTATTCTTATGTCTTCATTTCGAGACAAGTTTGGAATGTTTGTTGAATTTGTTAATGTGTGCTGAAGGGCATTAATAATAGAAAGCTACTTAAACAGAAATTTATATGAAATAATAAGTTTTTTACATCCTCTAAGACGGCTATTGTGAAAAATTGGTTCTAAAACAGTTGGTATTGGCTTTGATAAGATTGTGCCTCTTTGGTGAATTTTATGAAAAATATTTTTTCTTACAGGCCCCGATTATGAAGGCATATATGACTGAAAAAAAAAAATTGCAAAATCTACAAAAATTCATCTTAAAATGGTAATTTAATAGTGGTGTTCAGACAAGTGTTCGTAAAATATTGCGCATCGTTCAGAACCGCCTTGGCCAAATTTCAAAATGGGATGTGTTCATACTTCAAAATCTAGTGTTCGTAAATATGACAAAGAAGTATATGACCCTTCGAATTCTAATCGAAATTCTGTTCTAAATACAAATGACAATCCTGAAGTTGGGGGAAAGAAGGTTGAAAATACTCTCGTTGAAAAACAAATTGACGACAAAAATGGCTTCACTAAGCCAGTTAACGATGATTCCAAAAATACATGTGTGGACATATTTTGTGGAAAAAGTTCCAAAAAGAATATTCAAGATGTGGTTTCCTTGACGATGGACAATGATGACGATAAATCGAAAAATCGCATTAAGTTGAAAACTTCGTTTCCCATATGGAAACAATATGAGAAGTGTTCGATATGTTCGGGTGATAAAGATAAAACAGCAGGCGGTCTTGACGTGAACAAGGAAGACATTTTGAAAATCACGTTACAATATTCATCTAAACCCATCATGTGTAAAACGTGTTCTAAAAACTTCAACAGTACGATTCCAAATAATTTGTGGCCAGCCACATCAGGGGGAGTAACTGGTAGTAGTTTTGCAAATCTGTTGGCATTGGTACGTTTATATTTAGATTTTTTGTTTGTTTGTCGTGGGATTTTATGCACTTGTTTATTGATTTTTTGTTATGCTTTTTGGAATGCAGATTCAAAAATTCATCGACATCCCTCATGAAGGTGTGTTGGCCTCACAAAAAATGGGTTAAATTAACTTATCGCGGATGACAAATTTGGTTAAAAGCTTCAATTTCTGATGGACAGATGATAAACTTCAGCAAGAGGAATTCTGTAGAAGGGGGTTATATTTCCAAATTAAAAAACTGGCCAAACAAAATCTGCATTTCAAAACTGTCTTGTCTTTCTGGTGGCTATTGTGCTTTGGTTCATGAATTTATTTTGTATTTTGCGTTTGATTTTGGCTTTAATGGTATGGGCATGTTGTGCTGTTTTTGTTTTTGTCTCGGTTTCTGGTAAAACAATAACCTTTTTAGTCTTTTTGTTGTTTTTTTGCTAAAATTGTAACATAATATCTGCATGGTTTTATATTCATTCTTAAAGCTTTTTTAGTTTATCTGCTAAATCATTATTTGAGTTTATTTGGTTTTTGGTAAAACAATAACCCTTGTTTTTGTTGTTTTTGTCGTTTTTTTGCTAAAATCTCTCAACATAACAAAATATCTGCATGGTTTTCTTTGTATTTTTCATTAATTTTTATAGCTTTTTTGTTTTATCTGCTAAATCATTAACAATTTATTTGCTTTTGTGTTTTTGATTTTCACAGAACCAAATTTCTGTATTTATTTAAACTAAAAAAAAATGTCCACCTCATTTCAGCCAATGTTAAATCACAGAGATTGTTTTTCTCTGATAACCCAAAATTTTATTTTTTTTTTAAATTGATTTAAATTATTTTCAAGGCCTCAATGTTCCTGTAATTCCAGAAAAAACAGACAAATTACAGTATTTACCATGCTAACTCTTTTTACTAAACACCTGATGACACTTCTCTTTAGAGGAGTCCACTACTATACAACTTTTACTCTGCCAGAGATATACCATGATATCACTATAGTCAATACCAGCCAAAAACTGTGTTTGAATTCTCTTATGAGCAAACCTAAGTAAACTTATATCAAGTTTTTTTTTTGATAAAAAGTTCATATTGTTCTTCACTAGTGAACCATTTATTATATTTCATTTAGGCAATTACACCTGATACAACACATTAACTTCAAGTTATTGATAATTTTTATCAAATCTCCCAACTTTAACTTAAAGGGATTATAAACAGGATTTTCTAAATTTTTTATGAGTATCTGGGGCACCGATAGCATCAATTTGCAATATTCCAATTTTCAATCAGACGTCTGTAGTTCCTGCAATTCCACTAAAATCTAATGTTAATGAGATCGCTAATCACAAACTATGCATAATCATATAAGGCCCTTAATGATGTCATCAAACACTTAGTTTTTCTGGAATTGCAGGAACCACAGGCATCTGATTGAAAGATCGAATGGTTCAAATTGGTGCTACCAATATCCCCTATACACATACAAAATTTAGAAAATCTCTTTACAATCTCTTTAACATAAGGTAAAAGATAGACTTTTCCGATACACTTAACTCTCCAATGAAGGCAGACAAAACTAGACAAAGTTTTGTGAATCATTGGAGCAAAACCACATTTTGTGAATCAAAAAAAACTTTTTCACCTAATAAGTGTTTTGATGTCAGTAGTTTTCAAGGCAAAATTATGTCAAATTTTGTGGAAATTGAAGAAAAGTTTAAAAAATTTTGTGCAACTGTGATTTGTAGTGGAATATTTTGGACTAATAAAAACCTAGAATGTTTGATTCAGAATCAGAAATTTATTTTCCCCAAAAATATACGGTAAATTTGTTTTGATCACCTTGATCTTTTTAAATAAATATTCCCCAAAATTTTGTCAATTTTCAGGGGAAGTTTGACAAATTTGTAGTATCCATCAGCCACTGTTGAATGCAAGAGTAATATTTTTCAGTGCTTAATAAAGCTTAATTTCTCAGCTTCTCATGTACAAAATTGTATCTTTACATACAAAGCTTTTTAAATGCATTTCATAAATCTTCTTAAACTATGCACATTTGTTGTTTTCTTCTAATAATCACTTTTTGTTGCTACTTTTTTCCGCTAAAAGTTAAATTTTTTCATACGATTCAAAACCAAAATTTATAACGATACCATTATACCTATTTAAAGTGATACTACGTCTTAGAATGAACATAAAATTTAATTCTCAAGAATGGTCAATATGAGTATATATTCATCAGTTAACTTACCTGGTGTCATAAAGTTACAACAGAATCCCTGTAAAATCTAGAAAATTCATAAAACTAACTAATTATTGAAAAACGCTAAATCATAATATGAAGCGTTTTTCAATAGTTAATTGCATTTTTATTAAGTTTTTTGCATTTATCGGATTATATAAGGATCCTGTTATGTTATTTATGACACCAGGTATATCTACTCGTGAATATATACTCTTATTGGCCAAGTTTAAAATTTTTAAATTTTATGTTTATTCTAAGACATATTATCGCTTTAACGCTTCTCCAATTCCAATTCCAATGCATGATTAAATTGATAAGAATTCTTTGACAAAAATCAAGAAAAGGCCAAATGAACAACAGTAAGATGCTCAAAGTTTGACAAACAGCAGAAATTGTGAAAAAAATTCTCGTTTTTGAATTGTGTAATGTCCAATATTGTAGGAATATTAAAGGGATTGTAAAGAGGTTTTCTGAATTTTTTATATGTATCGCGAACATTGATTGTATTTGATTTGCATCCTTTTCAATCAGACGTCTGTGGCTCCTGCAATTCCACTAAAAATAAGTGTCTGATGACGTCACTAATCACAAACTATGCTTTATCAGTATCACATAAGACCCTTCGCGAGTAGTGACGTCATCAAACACTTAGTTTTAATAGAATTGCAGGAACCACAGATGTCTGATTGAAAATTGGAATGAAGCAAATTGAAGCTATGAGTGCCCCCGATACACATAAAAAATTTAGAAAAAATCTTTACAATTCCTTTAATATGTAGATGTAAAATGATTTAAAACTCTTATCTTTAAAAAGATAAAAAACTGATCATAAATTTTCTAATCTTAAAGGGGCAGTCCCAGAGAGTTATTACAATAAAAAAATTTATATGTAATATTAAATGAATATTTAGGATTTTCATATACACACAATATGTTACATCTTTAAGGTCAAAACTTATAATTTGAACAAGTTACGTGTCGTGCTTGAATTAAATTATGAAAGAGCAAGCTAGATTACGGTAGATCATTAACATATAGTTTGAATGAACATAATCAATTTGAGCAAATAAACCCCCCAAAAACACAGTTGGGGTTAACCGTAAAGGACCATTAGCTCTGGATCTTGTTACACAGGCTTTCTCGTTGATTTTAAATAGAAATCAGTAAAATAATAATTCAGAAGAGATCTATCTGGGACTATACCTTTAAAGTAAAAATAATCTCGCTCCAGGTGTCACTTTATTTTTAGATTTTGATCTGATTTATCAATCTAGATTTCTAATTAGTATGTTAAACACCCTCAGGTGATTGGTCAACTAAAAACTAGACTTATCAATTAGGCATCTAAAATTTCTAAATGTTAGACACTATTTTCAAGGAGAATTTCTGTCAGACCAAGAACCGAACTTCGTAATCTAGATCTTTAGTTTTTTCACATAAAGAACGTGTTCATGTTGGATCCTATATTAGACGTAAATATGTCACACCTTCTAACAGGATTTTTCATTGAGACAGTTTTTTCGTTGCAGACGGCGCTAGACCTCAGTGCTCCGGCTACAGACGCCATTTTGATTAACAGAAAAAACGCCTGGATACAACTCGCTGGACATCCAGGTAAGACATGTTTTATTTATTTCCTTTTAAATGTAAAAAGAATAGTCTAATGCAACTGTCCTAGCCAAATTTACCTCATTGCAAACCGCTTGCCTTTGCATGTTGTCAAAGTTAAAATCACGACTTGCATTTTCTTGACACCTCATATTTTTAAAGAATTGTGCAAGTATCTGAATTAAAAATGGCCACGTCATATTGTTTAATTTCAGGATCGTTTGCCCCAGCTGGACCACATACAATATGGAAGAAGAGAATGGCTAAGGAGAATTATGAATTGAAAGCGTATCAGTCGTTAATGGATTCCCCGACTACTCAGGATATCATTCCAGAATTTCACAGAGAGGTTGAACACAACGGAGAATGTATCCTTTTATTGATTGGTCAATTTTATTATGTCTTCTATAACAGTAATAATCTCAAATGAAATGAAATGAACGGAGTTTTACGTCCTACTTTTCTGCACCTTGTGGGCTAATGAAGACGGGTAACGCCATGCAGGGTGCGATGAGGGAAATTTTGCCAGGACAACGGCATTAGCCTGCTCTTTTTCGATTTCCAACTGTGGAGGGATCTTTAGCGTGCACAGCCTGTAGCACACGGGCCTTGGTTTATTGTCCCATCTGAACGACTAGACGCTTTTTCCATGTCAGCCCCTCTTACCTGCATCACTGACAAGGGGAAACCGGGTTGAAAAATCCGAAGGTATTATCTCGACCTATGCCGGGATTGAACCCTGGACCTTCAGGTTAACTTAGCCACAGCGGCTCCAGTAATAATCTCCAGCAACTGATTGATGAAGTTTTGAACTGATATGACGACTCACAAGCTTTAGGCATTGCAGTCCAAAGCTCACTTGACAATTGGAAATTACACACTGCATTGCTACAAGATGAGCATACTTTTGATAGTTTGAAAATGAAAAAGAGTAGGTTCGTACTGATGTCATGACAAAAATTTGCATACTGCACAATATTGCTGTTCATAACAATCAGTCCCAACAAGATCGGAACAATAAGGCATCAAACACCATTTCATTAGTCCAATCAGGTAAAGAACTATAGGATGTTCAACTCCATTTCATTTCATTAGTTCAATAAGATACAGAACAGTAGGATGTAAAACTCTATTTCATTTCATTAGTTCAATAAGATACAGAACAGTAGGATGTTAAACTCCATTTCATTTCATTAGTTCAATAAGATACAGAACAGTAGGATGTTAAACTCCATTTCATTTCATTAGTTCAATAAGATACAGAACAGTAGGATATAAAACTCTTTCATTAGTCAAATAAGGTACAGAACAGAAGGACATAAAACTTCATTTCATTAGTCCATCGACTACAGAACAGTAGGATGTAAAACACCATTCCATTTCATTAGTTCAATAAGGTACAGAACAGTAGGATATAAAACACCATTTCATTTCATTAGTTCATAAGGTACAAAGTGTACTACATAAAACTCCCATTTCATATCATTAGCCCAATAGGGTTCAAAACAGTAGGATGTAAACTCAGTTTCATTTCTTTAGTCTAATAAGGAACAATGAAATAAAAAAAAGAATGTATTGCCCTAATTTTTAAGATGTAAGCTTGTTTGTTATTATAATAGAAATATTTGTACAACAAAGTAGGTGTTAGATTTCATAATGGTCTTATCTCCAATGTCAATAAACTAAGGTGTGAATGAAATTTGTAAAAATTTTCTATTTTAAAGCGATTGTAAAGAAGTTTTCTTAATTTTGTATGTGTATCTGCACCATTCCAATTTTAAATCAGATGTCTGTGGTTCCTGCCATTCCAGTTTTATGATGTCAGTAATTGCAAAGGGCCTAATGTGTTAAAGCAATTTTTGATTAATGACGTCATCAAACACTTAGTTTTAGTGGAATTGCAGGAACCACTGACATCTGATTGAAAATAAGAATGGTGTAAATTGATGCTATCAGTGATACACATTCTCAAAATCTCTTTAATATGTTTTGAGTTTGGAGGCAGCACTAATCAAGGGACACATCCCCCTATATCTTAGATAAGTTTGCTCTTAAATTTGTTGCTATGTCTTTTTGTTTGCTTTTCCCCATTTTGATTTCCTCCAAATTTAGCAAATTATGGTGTAAATAGAAAGTAAAGATGTGCTTGATATATTGCAAGATTAAAAAGTTCTCTTTTGAATCAATTTTAACTCAAACACAATGAATTCCTAATGTGTTTTGAGAATTTTAGAAAGTTCACAATTTGTTGATCATGCAGATAATGAAGAATGCATTAAAGGGGTTTTTTTATCGGTTTATCTAACTTCTTAATTTCACTCAACCTTAAAATTTGATTAATATACTAATATATCAGTATAATTTATAGTCTCTAGTAAGTGAGATTTTGACCCAGAAAAATGTAGACAGAATTTTAATATAATGAAATTTATTAATTTATTCATAGTTTATTTTAGTTAGAGGGTGTAACAAGACCGTTTGAGAGGTAAGGGGTTCAAAAAGAGGGCTGAAAGGTATCCCTTCTAATCAAGAATCAGTCATTTTACATTAAACGGATAGATTCGCCATCCGTTAGACCTTAGTCTCAGAAACAGGTGTCTTTAGCCAATCAGTAATAGTGTTCATAGCTCACTGTCAAAATTTTATCCTTCAAATCTAAGTGTGTTTGCCTTTGAATGTTAAAATGACGACTCGTCATTTTTAGATACTCTGTGATATATAGAAAAGACATATAATAGAAACAGAGTAAAATTCCAAGTTTGAAGTATATTTGAATGAATTATGCAATTTTTGGAATTTCTAGTATTTGAATACACTACAGTTGACTAACACAGTCATAAAATTCAGCCTGTTATTTAAACAAAATAAGATTTAAGTAAAAAAAAAAACACTCCCCAAAATTTGAAAGCCTTTACCCAGATATAGATTTTATAGAAATAGAAGATCTGTTACAGCATTTTAAAGATCCAAACATTATGGATATCAAAATGGGAAAAAGGTATGTATTATTGTTTTCTTGGCTTTAAATATGATAAAAGAATTTTGTGTCATGCAATTTCATTTCATATGTTTGTTCTATGCATAATATTAATCATAAAATCTATTGACAGACAACTCTCTGACCTCTAGGACTGCAACAATTCTTGAAGTTGCGATTCGATACACTATACGATATTCATCCAACGATACGATTTATTGTGATAATTATCTAGATTCATTTATTAGAAGAAGGACAGAGAAAAATTAGTAAAAATTTGTAAAATTACTAACAAGTTTGTCAATATTAAGCACTTGAGAACATTTAAAAGTAATGAATTATGAAAGAAATCTCACGTCTTAAAGTCAGAAATAAATTTTTGCAACTTTGATGTTAAAATCATACTTGGAAAATGAAAACATGACACAATTTCTTATACACACAAGGATTCTGTGTCATTTGTTATTAAATGAGACTAAGAATTAATCGTGCCGATATGTCACGATTATTTTTATCCAATGCAATGCATCGATAAGAAGGGAAGAATCGAGGTTCATCAATTTATCAGTGAATTGTTGCAGCCCTACTGACCTCCTTTATATTATATGTGTTAAAGAGGTTTTTTCTCAATTTTTTATGAGTATCCAATTTTCAATCAAACGTGTGTAGTTCCTGCAATTCCACTAAAGTTAAGTGTTTTATGACATCACTAATCCCAAAATATGCTTTATCATCATTTACGATTACTGATGTTATCAAACACTTAGTTTTAGTGGGATTGCAGGAACCACAGACATCTGATTAAAAAATTGGTATGGTGCAAATTGATGCTATCAGTGTCCCCAATACATATAACAAATTTAGAAAACCTCTTTACAATCTCTTTAAGTGTATTCTAGAACATTATTCCAATCAGAATAAAGAAATCAAGAAAGGCTAACATTCCAATTTCGTTCCTAATATTATTTTTGGTTTACTCCACAACATTTCTACAGTTAGATTTGAAAAATTGAAGAGCAGAAGACAATATGACTTGCTGCTAATATTATTTGTTTTTTCCAGGACTTTTCTAGAATCAGAAGTAAAGAATCCAGTTTTACGGAAAGATCTGTATCAGAAAATGATTGATTTAAACCCCAATGCTCCCACAGAAGAAGAACGAAAACAAGAAGCCATTACTAAATTAAGATATATGCAGGTATAGCCAGTTTATAATTGGTAATTTGAGCTAATGAAGATGGGCAACGGCATGCCAGTGTGCAGTGATGGAAATTTTGCCAGGACAACGGCATTAGCCTACTCTTATTTTGCATAGTCTGTAGCACATAGGGCCACGGTTATAATTTCATAAAGGGTTGAGATGAACAATAGCCATTTAGGGGGTCTCTGTAATTGAAGGCCTACTGTTGTATGTTATAAACCATGGATTGTGCAATGAAGGAAATTTTTTAAGAGTAATGAGCATCCTATTTTGTGATTTAGAAGTTATTTCACGTACATAGCCTGTAACACACTTATTTTCTATGTCAGTCAGATCATGCTGGTTTCTCAGTCAAAAATATCTCTTATTGTACACTGCATAAGGTTGCCTTAGACATTAAATCTAGTTTTATTATCAGATTACAGTATTTCTTAAAATCTGGATTTGATCTTTATTTTTAAAGACTTGGAATATTTATGATTTATTGTAGTTCCGTGAAGAGGGAAGTTCAACTGCTACGTTAGGTTTCAGAATAGAAGCTGTCAAGGTAATATAAGATATATAATTTAAGTGGTAACGCGGCACAGTTTGTGATTCAAAATGACCCCTTTTGCCATCCAATATGTCAAATGATTAGCAAATATTAAAATTTATGGTGGCGATCTGAGAATCAAATCAAATTGTTTATCTTTCGTGAGAATTTTTAGCCAAATCTCAAATAAAATACAACTTTTAACCTTAATAACTAACATTATTATGAATCAAAATTTAATTTGATTAGCTAAAACTGAAATTTGGTGTGATAAATTGCTGATTAAATTTGTTCAATCTGTCAATGTGTTACCCTTATCAATTTTAAAATATTATATTAAGTTTGTGTACACATCAGGTCTTTATAATTAAGTATTTTCCTCTTTTAATTTGCTTATATTGGTCTAAATGATTGGTCAATCATCAAAATTTGGTAAAGGGGTGCTTAGAACGCAAAAGGTTTAGAACCAGGACCTTAAAGATATTGACAACCAAAAGTTTCATCTTTTTTCAGAAATCTGGAGAAGCCCCAATTACTAGTCTCAAAAAAATTAAACACAAAAGTCAGGTAAGTTTCTTGGTCTTCATCTTGTTTCTTCTATAGAAACAAATTATGATCTAAAAAGCTTCAAACATAGCCTGTAAATTGGGTACAAGGTCTTACAATGGTTAAAAAACTGAAAGGTTTACAGATCTTAACAAACCAAGGGAAGTAACTCTTTCAGAAAAATAAGAGTGCTTCCATTTACTATACTCATTGGCATCATGGGTATTTGTCTTTGTTAAGCATGGATATTGGACTAAATTCATGTCAATGGCATTGATTTTATGGGATTTTAGACTTGAATTTTGGATTGCAAATTGAAGTTTCGAAGACTGGCACGGGCACACAAGGAGACAAAAATCTCCAGTAGGTCGTTTTCCACCTTGTCGATAATCATGTGCAGAGCATGCTATTGAAAGGAAAGAAATCTGATTGGATGATGACGGTCTGTTTTGCAGACGAGTAAACTATCAGAGACAATTATCAAACTGACTATCGGCGACATGATAATCTTGTCGTGGAAGCACAGGCACAAGCAAGATTTTTCTCAAGATTGGGGTTGGTGACCAAAATCTCTGACCAAGACTGTTCGTGTACCTTTTCTTTGAAGAATTATTCCCCTTTAATTACATTGCAGGTGGTCAGTATGATATCCAAGTTTATAGCAGGATATCCAAAAATAACACATCGTATCTTAGAAAGATT